AGATTTGTCTTACAACTCTAAAATCTAACTAAATAAAAGCCCATAGTTTCATATCAGTAATCCAAACTGTAAGGCTTGTAAATCAATTACGATGCTCAGTTCAACAGTCCACTGAAGTAGATTTGTAAAAATGTAGGTTACTATGGCACAACATGTTTGTCATTGGTCTGATTTCTACTCAAGCTCACTCTGAGGTGCGGACTGAAATGAGTCAGTACACTTAACCTGAACAACGTGCTGCAACAAACAGCATTTATGTGCTTGACTGAGATGAGACCATTTGCATCCATTGTACAAATTTTTTTTTTGGTTGTACCACCAGACTGAAAGGAAAAGGACATTTTGGATATGAAAGCTAAGTGGATGAAACTGCGATTGCATAAGTAATGTGGAGCGTGTGGTTTACCATAAGCACTGCAGCAGGATGCTGTCTGTATACTGGAAGACCGGAGCGGCCAAAGAAGCTGCAACCAGACAGAGCTGAATGGCCGTGTTAATCTATTGAAAAAGAACATGAATCATGAATAAAATAAAAGTCAGAAAAGAAAGATGAAGGCATGATAGAATTTTGCACGTATTTGATAAGATAAGAGATAAGATAAGACTTTATTGATCCCACAACAGGGAAATTTTTGCGTCAAAATGAAATTATGCTAGTATTTCAGACTGTTTAAAGGCTGTTTGTGGATTCAAACATAGAATGAATCAGTGTCAGGTGTATTTAAGAGAAGTTACATATTTTACATAGGCTGCAGTAATAAACCATATAACTTGAGAATGTTGGCTGAAGTTATGAATATTAAACCCTGGATAAATAAACTGTGCAAAATTGGGAAATACTGAAGCACAGGTCTTTTAAACAAAAATGAAACAATTTTTTAATTATCTGGGTGTTGATAGGGTGAGGACACAACAGGCACAAACTAGCTTTGTTCATATCCTCATCACATTGAATGTCTACCTCAAAAACATCCAATGTTTACAGAGTTTAACTGACATCCAATTTGACGCCAAGCATGAGGAAATGTGCCGATGCAAGATGCACAACAGGCTGTGTAAAGGTGCTGATGAGTAGCCTAAAGGCATTAATCATTTATTGTTTAGTAACTTTTGCTTATTGAGTGTAAAGATTAGTAAACTCTGTAAAACTACATCAGCGGTGCTCCTAACATGTGTAGAGGCAAAACTACATTACAAACACTTCATGGCGAAAGGTCTTCTACAGTTTTCCAATCGGTAAAGAGCAGAGTGCACGGTTGTACATCTCACCTTGCTGATGAGTGTGGGCTTGAGCTGGGCAGTAGTATAGCAGGGGTTAAAAAACTTGGTGAGGGTCACCTGCAGAAATAAGAGGAGGAAACTGTGGATTCAGTATTACAGATACACACAATGCAGTCCAGAATCACTGTGGCCCCAAAATAGTAAAGAGCAGTTAAGATTTACTTTAGTAATATTCATCACGTTTTTGGTAGAAGACAACATAAATTGTTAAATAGATTTATTTATTCATGTTTTTCAACTTACAAATCAATACATATTTTCTATTCTTACATAATATCTGAGTAATCAAAGTAAACCTCTGTTTACTGCACTATAAACCTCTTAAAGTATGCTTAAAAAGAACAAAGAAACCAAAATAAATATATACAAAATAAAATATTATGCCTTGTTTGAACGTAAATATACTCAGCAAGCGCGCTGCCTTGACAGAGGGTTGCACTCTCGAAGTGCTTCCTTTCAATTAAAATGCATTATAAATACAGGGATGGATGGGTATAAATAATATAATTACTAAGATCAACTGTGCCATTTTTGGCAGTGAGGACTACATTGCAAGCACCCTCTGCTCCACCTACAGTTTAGCTGCAGCAAACTTCTGTACAGTGCACATGAAAATATCTTGAAATTTGAGTGTCTACATGGCATTTAAATAGAAGATCCTCAGTTAAAGTTTAGTTTTTTAGAATGATATGTCTCACCGGTGGAGGTACCGTCTTGTATCTGACCCAGAAGACAGCAGCTATCAAACCAATGTCTCTGAAAATCACTAGAGCTGTCAGTGGAGCTGAAACAGAAGTCCACAGTTAAAAATCTTATATCCTTGTTTGAGACAGGAAGAAAACACAGAAATACACTGAGTATTATACCTGGTATAAGTTCAGCATAGGTGAGACTGACATATAAAATACTGATGAGAATCTTGTCAGCCAGTGGGTCGAGAGCACTGCCCAGTGCCGACTTTTGAGTGGGCCACGTTCTGGCAATGTAACCATCCAACTGAGTAAGAGAGAATGAGACAGAAAAATGAATAAATAAAGATGTAAATTCATTGTGGTACAAGTTTCTAAGCTGAGCTAAGTAAGACAACTAAAAGGTTCGGGGCAGATCAGAATGCAGTGAGTCCCAATTTAAAAGCCTAATTAACTTTATTTGCATCTCATGCATCTTGATCTTGACTTGATAGTAAATATTTCAACTACCACGTTTTTAAAAATATTTTTACAGGTGCATCATTGACATGTGTTAAATGTCCAAAACTGTTTGCAATCCTCAGAAGCTAAAAATGAGTTTACAAGATTTCCTTGTACAGGTGTGCAACTCCAGACTGGAACCACACACCTGTGCAGGAAGTGCTTTAGTGTAAATGTCCGTTTATGTGTAGATTACCAGGTCAGTAGCTCCGGCCAGCGCAAACAGAGCCAAACTGAGGTGAAACTTCTGCTGGATGATCAGATGACCAAGGAATGGAGCCAGCAAAATCCGACACACACATAACAGGTTGGGGATTGTCCATGGATTCTCATACTGAAGAAAAAAAATAAGTAAATATTACGACAGAGTTTACAGCTAGAGCTATTAAGAAAAAAAAAATCATCACAGAACTTGCTTCAGATCAGTCAGCCTAAATCTTTTCTAGCAGCTGTTCTCAGTAATGTGTGCAATATATATCGATTCTGCATTGGCCTTATAAACAAATAAGATGACATTTACCAATGGCAGGAATTTATATTTTCTCTAATGACTCAAATCAATTTTATGTTGGCAAATGCAATAGTTAGCTTTAAAACAGTTTTTTAAATAATGATTTATTTGTTTCCCTTATGAGTAGAGGACCTACAACAGGATACAAGATGGTGACAGTTAAATAAAAATAAGAGACTCCGTTTTTTATCAGGTCCAAGGAATATGAACGTGTACCAATGTGACTTATCACTATGATTCATCTAAAACAGTAGGGGAGAAAATAGTTGGTGATATTGTTGTTCTACAGTCACAGAACTTAAATTTTCCTAGAGGACAAAAAACCCCAATAGTGACCAAGTAAAGCTCGATTTAAGACTGCAGGAGATCTACTTCATAACTGAAAACTCCTTTTATCCCTACACCACAACCTTCCACACCATTCAAGTCACAGTGGTATTTAGTAATTAAAAGCTTATGTTAAGCTGGGTCATATGGCGGTTAACACTGCTGTGTCATAGGACGAAGGTTCTGGGTTCATTGGTGATTCTATAAACTGGCTCTAGGTGTGAGTATCAATGGTTAACATTCTTTTTGTGTTATCCCCGCAACAATCTTGTGACCATAAACCTCTATGACCGCTGAGATGGGCTCCAGCCCACCGCAACAAGTGGAAGAAAATGGACTGATGGGTATTTTAAACATGCCATTTTTATGTACAGGAAAAACTATTTACTTGTGGACTTGAATTCATTAAACCTAATAAGGCTGTTTTACGAGGAAACGTACTGTAAAAAAAAATCTTGACATTTAAACCTCTGGGTTCACAGAGTCCATTGGGCCAGTAAATGACCCAGGGTTTGGGATAGCTCACAAACACAAAAATCCAGTTTCTCTTTTCTGGAACAAAGCCCAGTGCTCCCTCTTCAGTGGAAAATTACCCACAAAGCTCTTCTAGTGTGACCAATGATTACACTATTGTAAATTCTACTTAAGCAACTGTGTGTTTCTTCATCTTTTGGTCATGTTATGGTCATTGTTCCTTTTAAAAGTATAAACCATTGCACCGTTTTGGCCAGCAACTGATGAACACACATGAGTTACACTTTATTAATTGTTGTACAACATGCATCTACGGTGCCTACCCCCTTCTGTGAAGTTCATACTCCTGTCACCTCTGTACTCACCAGCTCTTTGAACTTGAACAGTCCGTGTCCCGGTACCGTGCCGGCGTCACCCCTCTCCTCTCCGGTGGAACTGTCCGGCTTCTCGTCGGTCTTTCCACTGCACAGTCCTCGAGCGCTCGGGGACAGCAGAGAACGGAAACTGGCCGCATACCGCTCGTGACCTCCCTGGGTCATGGGTATAGGTCCTTGCACGTGCCATGGAGTCTGCTTTCCCTGCTGGAGGACCCCACTCCAACACGCGACACGGCTGTCTGTCCCTTTGAGTCTCGCGAGGTACGAGCCGCTCACCTGAGGTCGTTTCAACCTAGCGAACTCCGTGACAGGTGTGTATCTGAGCCGCCATGATACGGGCTCCAGTAGGCACACGGGCGCACTCCGCGCGGACACCAGACAACGAACGTTTGTGTTGCGGCACAGCGGTGCAGAAATCCCCCGAAAACACAGCGTCATCATCTTCACGAGACTTACGTTACCGACCTGCTGGCCTCGTGCCGTTTCCCCGCGAGTTCATCGTGAAGTTAAAGACCCTGATGGTCAGAGCCGACGGGTACCCTCATCGAGCCAGCAGGCTGCCATGTTGCCGTAAATCGATACGGTACATGATGTCGTAAAACTTACTTTCCTTCAGCGTTTTTAATTTAAAAAGAGAGTCGCTTATTTAAATAAGTGGTGTATCAAGAGATGGAAAAATCAGATAATAGTCGGACTTGTCGTTAATAAATTGTAACAATTTCTTAAATAATAAGTAAATATTTAGCGTATTAGTCTTTTGAATTACAAATTAAAAGCATTTTCACTACCTCCCTTTTTGTAAAAACAAAACAAAAAACAACAAACAAAAGGCTGATTGTTCCACATCATTTAATAAAGTGCACACCAGAGAGACAGAACGTAACCATGAACGTATGTTTAAGACAAAAATGAAAAGCAAATACTATACATCCAACAGGACACCCAATACTGAAGTCAGTCTTTCAGAAAAATAAGAAATTTTATAATACAAGGGCAGCTTATTATGACACTATTATGGGTTGACAGGGTTATATTAGTGCCTTCTCTAAAATATAACCACAGACAAGCTTACATAAACATCATATACATATTATGTTCATTCTTCTGAAGTATTCTTTAAGTATTTGTAGAAAAAAAATGGTAAGTAATCAGTTTTCTTTCATATTCAGTTTAGACAAAGTTGTGTAACTTAAAGGCAAAATTTGCAACTTTGCTTAAACTAAGGGTTGCCCGGTTCTCAAAATCTATCTTTATCTGGATTATGAATGAAATGTTAAGACAATATATCAATCTCAAGTCTAACATTTCTCTGGTTAGTGGGATATTGTCTTTACAAGAAGCTGTGGTAGCGGTAAAGATCAAGTTTCAGTATTTCCTTTTTTTTTTTCCAGCCTTGTTTTTGTTGTTCGTAGTTTTTTTCTATCTCTTCTAATGGTCAAACTGCAGTCTCCATTTCTTTTGCTTTTTACAGAACACGGTCCAATGATCGACCTTTTGATAAAGTCTGCAGGTTTGAGCCTGTGAAAGCTGTAAGAAGTTAGATTGTTTGCAGTTGGTACAGCTTGGGCCCTTTCTTCAGCAGAAAACCTTGTTCATTCAGGGAACTCAAGAGGCCTTCGAAATCCATCACCTAGAAAGAATTAATGATTGACTTAATATAATTAAGAATTATACATTTAATGCAATTAAGCATATCGTTTTCATTCATGTTTAGGTATGAAATCACTAAGGTTTGTGGTGAGGAGGGGGAAGCCCACCTGTGTATAGTTACAAAAGGCAAAATATAAAGGTTTTGGAAAATCTTCTCTATATAGGTACAAAGCTTTGTGTAAAAATCAAAAGTACTGTACACAATATCTGACCGATTTCAGTCAGTAAGGCACCATTAAAGATGTGCTGTGTTTGATAAAACATTTAGAGTTGGAGTTTTATTTCATTTTGGGATAATCAAGAGTTCTAACCCTTGCTGATGTGGTCTACATATTGGCTAAAGCAGTGTCTGTATATCTTTAAATCTTCCACATGCTTTTCTAATGTTTGTTTTTGCATTTTTATTCACAAAGAGCTTAAACAAGTCGATACCTTTTTCCTATTTTCCTTTAATAAAGTTTTTGTATCATGATGACATCCAAAGTAATTGCTCACAAATGGTGAGTGAACACTATTAATGTTTGTCTTTGCTTTATACTGTAAATCAGAAACAGTATTTTTATTATTTTATATTTCAGTGCTTTCACCTTAACGTTCACTCTGTCGGCAATGGATCGAAGCATCTGTACGTCGAACTGCTTCTGACCGGTCCTCTGAGCGTGCTGGTGCAGTGCATTGACCAGTCGTTTTGCAGCACTGCGCTGACTCATACCAGACCCGAGCTGAGAGCGCTCAAAGTCCAGATTGCCGAGACCATCTGAATACGTGTTGGCCAGACTGGAAAACAAGAACCACAAAACGAAGGAGAGAGAAATTTACATGCAGGTGTGAGCAATTCAGACGTATTAATATTGTGAATATTATTTAACAAAAATATTAACACTTATCAGTTGGCTTTGGCCTACCATACTGTGCACATTATTACTAGTATGTATTTTCTGTGATATTAAAGTGTTGTATACCGTATCCCTGCAATAGCAACACCATGTATTTATGTTCCCCAGTGAAACAAGTCCAAGCATGTCTGACTGTAAGAGCTGTTTCAGTCTTCTATTACAATTTAGTTCCTAGAAAGGGAGCTACTTCAACAACCTCCAACAAAGCACAGTACTTTGCAAAATATGCAAGAAAACTGGTGGAAACAACAAATGTGTTTGAGGCAAAAACACCATTGAGAACAACCAGACTGCAAAGGAGGAGGAGCAGCTGGCGATGTGGAACTCAAGAGCAAACAGATGACTCAACTGAGCATTGCTAGCTCCGCTCCACATGACACTATTATGGATGGAGAGGGTTACATTAGTCCAATATTGTCCTTATGACAATAAGCAAATGGTGGATGCAAATTACTGATGCAGTAACATGGTGGAAAGGCTTGGCTTTAATCAGCTAGTTAACAAGCACAAACCACGACATAAGAGGTACAAGTGTTGAGCAATGATTTTTATTTTTACTTTTATGCTTAGAGCCCTCACAACTATTGCGCTATAATGGTGTTGCTCCTGGCACCTTGGAGCAATTGATCAATACTTCAAATTAGGTAATTTGTCATCAAAGGCAGCAGCTAACTGAAAGGACAGAAAATGCATTTCATTTTCCAAAATTTATAAATGCTATTGCCTACAAGCTGTGAGCATCGATTGTTCGGCTTACCTGTGTTTCATGATCTCAACAACATCCTCAGCATCACTCTTAGTGGCTGTTTCTCTCAGCTCCAACTTGACTCTTGCCTACACAAAAACAGCTACCATGAGACACCAGCAGGAAACTGATCCCTTCTGTTCCCCAAAACTGTATTTTTACTTTGTGTATTCATCCATCACATTTTGCCAGGTGTGTTGAGAGAATGCACCGCTATCCAAACCTACCTCAGTTAGTCTAATTAAAGACTCCAGCTGTCGTGTGGTGATTGGTGTGGCATCAGTAGGGTTTGCCTGAGCTCTCAGTGACAGGTAGAACTCCTGAAGGGTTTGTGCTGCTTCAGGAGAGAGTTTGGGACGGACATACTGACGAGCGTAGCTGATATACTTTCTTAAAAGGCACGTTGGAATGGGGTCTATACTTTCACCTGCAGGGATCTAGAAAAATATACACTTAATGCCTGAAAACAATTGCTTTTTTGTGATATCATTGTGATCCGTGTGCGCTGAGAGCAGACAGCGCATCTTTACCTGCAAACGTTCGGACAGTGGCATGTCAGAGTGCTCTAATAGGATTGAGGTCTGTAATTCAGTGTTATTTCTGGTAACTGTGGCACTGCTGGTTCTGCCTCTCCCGGACCTATTCGCCATGACATGCTCCGACAGCTGGCGGTCATGTGACTCGTCTGGGATGTCCAGGAGCAGGAAGACAACATCAAAACGAGAGAGGAGAGCTGATCCCATTCTATACAGAACAAGAGTACACAAATGTAAATACAAGTCACATACTATACAATCTGCTGTATCCTCCATCTTTAACTTACTTCAGATTTTCAGAGACTGTTTTGCCTCTGTTGTAATGTCCTCCAACTGGGTTTGCAGCAGCCACAACTGAGGTTCTAGCAGGCAGAGAGGAAACTATACCAGCCTTGGCCAGACTCACAGATTGTTGTTCCATTGCTTCTAGCAGAGCCTGCTGCTGGTTGCCCATCTTGTCAAACTCATCAATGCAGCAAAGACCTAAAAAAACAAGTAAAAAAGAAACGCAAGCAACTAACTGTGACACATGTGAAGCAAAAAGATTGCCCTGCAGGCTGAAAGGCTTGTCTGATAATTTGAGCCTGGCAAACTAAGTGAAAGTGGTCAAAGCAGTGGGGGAATACCTTGTGGAAGATGCTGTGAAGTTAAAAGAAATATAAATAATACCTTATACATGTTTTTTTAAGCAATGTGGCTAGAGACCAAAGTGCAATTACCTCAAAGCCACTAGAACAGGTCGCAATGTTTTATGTTCACTGCACATTAAAATATGCTTAAAAACAAATTTCCCACCTTGGTCTGCCAAAACCAAAGCACCGGCCTCCAGAGCATAATCCCCTGTTCCTGCATCTCGAGATAAACTTACTGTGAGTCCTAAAGAAAAACAGAAAAACTGTAAAGATCACATTGTTAATTTGACTATATTTAACCAAATACTTACTGACTACTGTATAACAAATTAGTTAAGAAGTTTTCTACTTTAACACATTGTACCTGTGGTGCTGGTACTGTTGCCACAAACATAGATACCCCTGGGAGCCACGTTACACACTGCCTATGCAGAGTAAAAGACAAACGTAGAGCATAGTACTAGGTCGAAGAAGAACATATCAAAGTTTCAAAAAGGAAATACACAGCACAATACACAGTCTCAGCTTATGAGTCATCAACATAGCGCTGTTGACATGACATTAGTATTCATTTCTCTACGCAAAGTCCTCTAAGTTACCTGTAACATCTGACTCTTTCCCAGTCCGGGGTCTCCCACTATTAGGATGTGGGGGTCTGCTCTCACTGGAATGCTATTCTTGCCTGTTTGTTTCTGTCTGCCTCCAAACAAAACCAAAGCAAGGGCAGCTTTCACCAGCTGCAGATACACGAAGACACAAGAATTACACGAGACATAAGATGTTAGACTAAACTTTAGCATTGCAAGTAAGACCTCATTAGCAGCAGTGAAACTGATAAAAGTAGAGGTAGTTAAAGCAGATGAGTTTAAATACCTCGGGTCAACTATCCGAAGCAATGGACAGAGTACAAGAGAGGTGAAGAAGAGAGTGCAGGCAGGGTGGAGTGGATGGAGTCAGGGCTGATTTGTGACAGAAGGACAGCAGCAAGAGTGAAAGGCAAGGTTTACAAGTTGTAGTGAAAACTACTTTGAACTATAATGTATGGTTTGGAGACCATGACAGAGAAAGGCAGAGCCAAAGGGGTTTGGGTTTTCCTTGGGAGTGATCAGTATGGACAGGAGTAGAAATGAATATATCAGTGACACATCTCAGGTCAAACACTTTGGAGATAAAGTTAGAGGGGTAAGGTTGAGATCTTTTGGACAGGGAAGAGAGAGTAGATACACTGGATGGATACTGAATATGGAGCTGCCAGGCAGGAGCAAAGGAGGAAGATCATGGAGATAGATCATGAATATAGCAAAGGAGGACAAACAGATGGGATGACAGAGGATGATATTAGTGATAGGATGAGATGGAGTTAGACGATCCGCTGATGTGAGCCCTGACGGGAAAGAAGTAGTAATTTCTAATGAAAAGCTTGTTAGTGTACTCAGTCTTGCGGAACTCACCAGATGGCCGTAGATGACAGGACACAAAGAGCTGTAAAAACAAGTGGACGCAATTAGTTAAAATATGTTGATGTGCAGTAGTAGCATGCCATCATCATCAAAAAGTACATTTTTGGATGACTGAAGAATTTTATAGTTCTAAATCCTGACAAAAATAAAATAAATAATCAAGCCAACTAGATAACTTGAGATTAAATTGTTAAAATTGACTCATCGCCATACCATTCAAACTCCATTGTTTGGACAAAAATTTAATAAATAGATGCTGCGATAACTCTTAGAACAATACTACATGAAACTAGGTAGCTGCATTAAATGCAGTAAGTAATCATCTTACTGCACTATAAGTCGCAGCAAGTCAGGCTGTGACTGGATCTCCTGAATAGCATACAGTTCCTTCAGACTGAACTCTTCCCCACCACAGCGATCTTCAACTGTCCCGCTTGAACCTTGACCTCCCATCTTGGACTGCTTGCCTAAATATTTAGAAAAAGTTCCAGTTCATTAAATACTTAAAAGCCTATTAATATAAATGTGAAGGTCTCAAAGAGAATACCTTTTGTATTGCTGACAGAAGTAGCTTCAATGTAGAGGAGGAACATACACTGATCCTTATTTCCTCTAGAACTGCCTGGACCTAAAAAGCACAGTCAAACTATGTTTGATGTCTAAGTAGGAGGGCACTTCTTCCAGCAAACTCCAACTTCAAAGGCTTAGAGTTTTTGTTGAATAAATGCTTGATTTAGTTGAGACATTTTTTATAATTCACTACACAATTAGAATTAGAGACTGCACCGGTATTTCTTTGGCTTAACTTTTCACAATGATCAGAATGTGTGTTTTTGTACCATCATTGCTAACTCTCACTATCCCTGTCACAGTAACAGTGTCTCCAGGTACACAGCTGTCACAGAGGTCAGAGGTCAGGTGACACTCCACTGTCCGTGGGATTCGTCCAGTCTCCCTCTGCTCTCCACTTATCAACTCCTGCACCCTGAAGTGGCACAAAATAATTCAAATTCAATTGATCAGGGATTCATGACAAAGGTTATTTACACGAGATGTGACCTTTAAGGACAATACTTCATATCTGTGAACTGCTGATAAAGCACAATGTCCAGAGTGACACATGAAAACTACACACATATGCACAGTAAATGGTACACACTAAATAATACAAGCAAAAAAAACAAAAGGTAAAGTCCCTTAATATAAATGACTGATAACTTACATACAAAGATTCTTCATGAATCAACTTAAAATTAAATGTAAGCGACCTGGGGTTAGGGTGATTATAATATGGACCGGCAACAGAGTAGTTTACGGACATGCAGTATATACCTCAAAAATACATGCAACAGAAAGGCTTTTCTTTGGAGGAGCTTTCATGCATTTTTACATGTACATTTAGATAAGATAACCTTTATTAGTCCCACAGGTGGGAAATTTGTTAAATATCAGTAGATATCAGTACATGGCATCCTTTCCCGCTCTCAAATAACAACTGCAACAACCATTTTTGTTAGCTATGTCTTACTGTAGTTTTTCACTGTACATGATATACTCACTTGATGATCTGCCAGTCTACAGTCTGTGTAAGAGGAGAATTGCGGATGGGGATGAAGATATGACTGCGACAGTCTGGCTTTCCGCACTAGGTGATAAAACACAAACAAGAGATGTGTGAATGCTGACAAGAACGCCATATGCATGTATACAATATAACTTACAGCCTTTATGTACAGGAAGAAAGTTGCAGAAAAAAGTTAGCGTATAAGTGTGCGTGTACATACTTTGGTAGGTGTAGTGTATTTCCCATGCTGCAGAGCCAGAGACAGTGTGGTCGAGCAGGTCCGACACCTGAAGGCCAACCTGGTGCATAGCGGTCTAATACTGCTCACTCTCACCACTGTTCCCTTCACACAAACTAGCCGGCCAAACACACTGGCACGTAACATTCGCAGTGGAGTCAGGGGCTCATAGTTATAGAGCCTGCAGGTAATTTACACAAATGCAGTCATCCGTATTTATTGTCATTCAAAGTGGCTGTCAAGAAAACAACTCATTCTTCACCGAATGAAATACCTCGCACTAATATGGGGAATATTGATGACTGGTGTAGCAACAGGAAACTCTTCCTCTTGCAGCTCAGCAGCTTGCTTCTCCAAATCCAGAGTCAACACCTGAATGATGTGCAGACAGTTTTCAGCCAGGGTTTGGGGTTTTTAGATTGAGAGAGACTGAGAATTTGAGCATTTGTTATAATATGAACATCATTAAGACTGTAACATCCCGCTAGCATAAAATGTGTGGTAGGGTCTTTTGTGCGTGTACCTGGTGAATAGCCAATCCCAAACAGTTCAGCATCACCTCTGGTTGTTGTTTCAGTTGTGTGACTATGTCAGGAAGTGCCTGACGCACAGTTTTGTCTGCAATCAAGTCAGCATAATCAACCAGGACACTTCCCTGACGCTCAATTTCATCCTGTACACAAAAACAAAGTTCACTTTAAGTGACATGGAAACAGACAAAGAAAATAATATAGATGGATGAGAAATTAAAGGAACAAAAACATATTAAGTCTCTTAGTAGGATGCCACCAAGTAGTGCCATTGCTGTGACAAATGATAACTTAAAGAGCCAGTGTGTTGTGCACTGAGCTCATCTGACGAACCTTGTCAAACAGATGAATCCTGGAAGTGAAATATTTCTCAAACACTTTGATTTTCTCCACATTAGGTCCACTCTCTATAAATCCTGGACATAAAAAGACATGGAGATTACGGGCACAGACAAAGACAGATAATCCTGACTATTAAATGTGACGTCTTTCTAAAGTTTCCATTGTAACAGTGTGACAGGGACCCATTAATGCACACATACCATCTGTGAAGTAGAGTGTCCATCCTTTGTACGGACACAATGCATCAAGAGTAGTTTGACAAAGGACTGAAGAGACAGTTGAGCAGTTGGTTATTTTGTTGCAGCTGTTCATTCATTGCACAACCACAACTGTGTGTTTTTTTTAGACAAAGCAGTAACTCTAATATGTAGCATGTATTCACCTCGTCTTTTTCCAATAGAAAAAGAAAAATATAGTTCTACTAATGGTTTCTTACAAAAAAAAACACTGTTTGTGTCAGAAACTCACCTCTCTGCGCTCTGTAGGTATGGTTTCCTGCTCCACCTCTCCAACCTCCTCCGGATCCTCCTCTCCATGGTCTACCTCTCCATCCTCCACCACTACCTCGTCCTCTCCATCCACCACCACCACCACCACCACTACCTCCTCCTCCTCTCCATCCACCACCACCACTACCTCCTCCTCTCCATCCACCACCACCACCGCCACCACTTCCACTACCTCCTCCTCTCCATCCACCGCCACCACCACTTCCACTCCCTCCTCTCCATCCTCCCCTGCCTCCTCTAGAAGAGCCTCTCCTGGAATCCTGTCCACTCATTACTTTCCTAAGACAATGAAAGGAGGAACAAAAATAAGTGACAGTACTAACGAAACACAAAACACTGTAAATATGCACTACAGCAAATGTTGATATATGTTGTGTTGATTGGCTCTACTTTTCCAAGTCAACACTGCAGATTTAAGATCAACTTTAACATTTTAAAATACTGTTGGGTAACTTAACTGCCCTTCCGTTTTAAAAACCGTGAAATCCCTACAGATCTAACTACACATTTCAGGTTACAAAGCTGCGGGCTAATGTTTCATGTCTAATTTCTTTCTCTCCAACAGTTAGTAACGTTATCCTTATTAGCCAACTTACAACTACAACTTTTTCCTACATGTTCCGTTCAAAAAGTGCCAACAGGTAAAAACACACCGCCTGCCTTTTCTTGAACAGAATGAGTAAAAAATCTTACAGTTTAAGAAAGTGCACAATATATTACTCCATAAACCAAAACTGCGTGTTTCGGTGTCTCAAAATTCACGAAGACTGATATTACCAAACAAAAATTCCCTCCACGAAGAAGCTTCTTCTTTTAATGTTATTTTGTCAGATGTGCCTTTAAAGCGCTTTACTGCCCCCTAGAGGATAGCGAAACTACTACAGAATTCTTATTCGCCTGCCGCCCCCATACTCTGCATACTCTGAGCAGGAATTCAAACCCTGTCAATTGCTCCAAAGATGTTTGATTTTACCCCGACACTTTCCTGCTGCTAAAACGAGCAGATTTACGAGGTAAGGATGATGATGATAATGATGATGCAAAGTGCAAACTAATTTCAGTATAAATAGAAGCATTAGAACTTGTAACCTCAAAAGTGGAAGACTGACTCCAACATCAGAGGTCTATGTCCAGATTTTTCATTTCTCATCTTTTCCATAGAGCTCATTTCCACTGAAAACCTAAACATCTTCAGCTTTGGGGATTTGATACCTCCAGCTTAGCTTCCTGTTTTTAGTTTGGTTAATGCTGCTGTATCCAAGCCATACATCTTAGCAGCTCTCTCTACCATCTTCCAGGCTTTCCCTTTCTCTTGCTTTGCTGTCATTCTGTCTCAAATGAGCCCTGACACTCACCTCCACCTACTCCACCTGCACTTCTTCTTCACCTTTCTTGTGGTGCACTGTCTGGTGCTTTGGATGGTTGAGTCCAGGTTTTTAAACTCATCCACCTTCATTGTCTCTACTACTTGTAGCTTTACCTTTCACCATTCACACACATGTATTCTGTGTTGCTGCTACTGGCTTTCATTCACCTTCTCTCCTGAGCACATCTCGACCTCTCCAGGGCCCTTCAACCTGCTCGCTACTTTCATTACAGATCACATTGTCGTCTGTGACCTGCCTGACCTCAACTTTCAGCCTGTCGATCACCACCATGAAAAAAAAAAGAGAGCAGATAAGGACCTTGATGTAAACCCACCCTCTCCTTCAACCCATGACTCACGCCTACCACATAACACAAAACAAAGCCCTCTGCCTCCATCTTCTGGACATTTTATGTCATTACATGAAATAGTAACTCATTTCAAGTTCAATTCAACATTATTGTACAAACAATCCATGTATACGTATTTTAGCTAGTTATTATAAAATTAGAAAAAAAAGTCTTGAGTCACCTTTTATTCAGACTTCCTTGTACATATTGTAGTCTTTTTGTAACCTGTACAGTCATTGGTCGAGACCGGCAGATTTTGCAGAGTCAGAATCAGGATTGAATGCATCATTGTGCTAAGCATATTTGCTCTACAAAGATGAGCTCCATAGACTCTCTGTAGGCTCCTCTTGTTGTGTTTGTCTTTTTCTTTTGTTTCTTTCTTTATTGATTTCTATTATTATAATTCACATGAGTGCACTTGTAATACGGCAATGTCAGAGTTGAAGAAAAATAGCAAGGAAAAAGGGGTAAAATAGGTAAAAATATAATAACAAGAGGACCTGTAAGAAAACACATCCAAAGAAAAGCACCTGAAAAGTGAAAAAAAAAATACATGCACTAACCAACAGTCTTGCTGTGTTGTGTGTGTGTGTTTGTGATGAAATACTTGATAATGAGGGTGTGAAGGCGAAACAAAGCCCACCAGGAGCCAGAGACATGGAGAAAGACCCAGGGGGCTCAGGCCATCTGCAGCCCAAGACAGTACTGAAGACCCAAGGATACACATCTCAATGACAACTGTGTGCCCACACCAGAAGAAGGAGGGATGCCCCAGTCAGAACCCTCGCGGCCAAAGGGCAAGATCCCCAGAGAGTATACCAGATTACACAAGAACTGAACTGAAAATCAGCAGCAACAGGTTTTTGGTTCGGTTTTGATGGTTGTGGTTCAGAAAAGTACCATCAGATTTTGATCCGCAATGCAATGCCATCTGGAAAGTGTCTGATTACCAGTGGTCACGTTTTTCAACATTACAATGATCCCAAACACACTGCCAATGCACTACAAGCATACTCGGACAGAAAAACACACAATAAAACACTCAGTCATGGATTGGCCAACATTATTAAAACAGTGTGGAATCATCTTGACAACTGACAATACAACAAAAATCAGCCAACATCCGAAGAACCTTGTGATGTCCTTCACGAAGTCTGGAGAACTATTCCTGAAGCCACTTAAATTAGCTTTGCTTAAAGGAGTTCAGGCTGTGTCAAATGTGTTAAAGAATAAAGGTGGACATACCAAATATTGACTGCCAAGCTTGTTTTTGTCATTTATGCTGCATTTGTATGTCTGATTACAGCTGTATATGCAGTAAACATCTGAATCCATCTCTTATTTTCCTAGAAAAATATAAAGAAATGAGAGTGGTTCAAGCCTTTTTGCACACTTATTTTTTTTTTAACCAAAAGTAAAATAAACATGTTTGCTTTAAGTGTGTCTTCACACATACACAGCCAATTCAAACTCAGATGGTTTGAATAATTGTACCATTTAACCCAAAGAAAGATGTTTTTATGTGTGTGATTTTCCATGTACCTTCATAAAATCACATATTTGCATTTCAAAACCTGCGAGGACCTCTGCGAATGGAAATTATTCAAGATTAGTGAGAATTCACAGCTGAACTAGAAAAATACACATCCATCCAAACATCCATGTCAAAAAGAGGGGCAGATGCTTGGCCAAAAACAAGAAGCCAAATGTAGTTTAGAAAGTGACCAGAAAGTGTGTTCTTAAACTAAAAGTGGTCCACACAACAAAACCTGTTTGAAAGCACACGTTTTCTCTCTCACACACACACACACCATCTCAAGGGAGTGGTTTTAAGGGGATAGAGAGACAGAATGAACAAGGGGAAAAATCAATACCTGAAGTACTGTGGCCTGGAGTAGTTAGCGGTAATAGCAGAGGGCTGAGAGGGATGGAGACACACACTCACTCACACACACAAACACACACACATACAGTAAAGGGAGACAGATTGTGAAACAGGTTGCTGCAGGTTGTTGCTAAGGTCAGAAACAACTCTTGTCAGGGAAGCAGACAAAGAAATAAAGACAGAGGGGGAGATATGTCCTCTAATTCTCTCCTATCATTATCCTCAAGGCACTGATAAATGAAATAAGGCTTTTTCCTCCGTGTGTGTGCCTTTGTGATGATAACAGGTCTTTTGTGGAGAGAGATGTAGAAACTGAAGTGCCGGGAGAGAGCTGAACCACCAGCAGTCGCCTCAGAGAGATGAATGCGTGGACTGCGCCTCTCGGCAAGGTATTTAATCTCTACTTGATCAATCAACAGCAAATCAGTGCGAATTCACAGCTATTTGGCAAACAAGGTGAAATCATTTTTCAGCAAAGTTTGTTTTTCAGCCAGACTCTAGAGTTAAGTAGACGATGAGTCACCCCCGCTGGGTTGTGACATGACAACAATATCTACAGCCTATGTCTAAAATGAGTCTGGGTGTCAGGAGAGACAGATTTCATTACTTATGGATGTGTTAGGGACGGGACAAGATGGCATAAAGTCAAACTGAGTTATTTTCACAGCAGCAATCCCCTATTTGGATGCTCTGCTTCTATGCTCAGCCATTTGCAGACTCTTCCTCTCGATGATTCAATCCGTTTCTCACCTGGAGTTTGAGTTTGCCACAGTGCTAACCCACAGAGTAACCATAATTTATTTTTCCCCCCAATACAATGTCCCCATTGACATATAGGGCAATGATTTATATCAGATATACAATTTTGTTATGTTCCAAATGTCTTGTTTGCTGCGTCTGCAGCCATCAGCTCAGCAATAGATCAGCACCAAAGTGTTCAGGTTTACAAGCACCTTAATCTCTGGTGGCCACAAGCTAGCAGAGAAAGACAAATAAAAAGGTGCAAAGATCGAAATACACATTAAATGTATGCTTTGTTAACATTGGATGCTTTGTCCTTTTGGATCACACATGCATTTTCCTTTGTCTTCTTTACAAGACACTTGATATTAGCTGCTTATAAATGTTTAGATGATATAATTTTCGTTTTTGCTGCTTTTTTTCACAGTAGAAAAGGCTTTCACTCATTTTGATGTTTGGCGATAAGTCATACTTTATGGTGAGAAAACTCTCCTAAGTATAATATCCCAGGTTCAGTGGGTGCAATATGGCTCCCCTCGAGGACTGTATTACACACTGATCAATCGTGGCTCCAGGAGAACAGCATGACTCAATGAGTACAGGCAGGTGGCCATCACCTTTTTGCTGCAAAGAAAAATTGGGCTGTCAAACCATCATGCTCCCTATTTTGCAGAAAGTACTGGGTGTAGAAACTCACTGGGAGAAATGGTTGGAGGTTTCACAGAAAAGACAGTTGCACATAGTTTAACACTGATAAAAAAAGTAACGGTTTTAGTGAAACAACGGTAGTATTGTTAAAATAGTGAAAGCCAAGAAAAGTTTGTTGTTAAACTTTTAGCTCTAA